TACAGACTTGTTGAATTAGGCTTTGTAGCCATATGTTCAAGCTATCTATTTAAATTGAGTTGTCTAATTACTGTTTTAAATGGTAATGTGATCTACAATGCACTTGCTAAATAATACAGTTCCTTCTTACAATCTGTGGTGTTGAGATACTGCTTACAAGGCTGCCAAGTCCGAGCGACATAGGCCTGAAAGCTGACTTCAGCCTTGGGAGGGAAAGTTTTCTAGCCACTTTTTCTCAGCAGTAGAGAAAGATGAGGTGTTGTAAATCCGCAGGGGGGTGGTGGGGGAAATCCTCTCTCTCTCTCTCCTTCGATGATAAAGGGAGCCCAAGAAGATTAGCTTTCCTGGACTTAAAGCTAGTTTGTGAATTCACTCTCCGTGTTTATATAGTATGATTCGGTTAACTGAACCATTTCCCTAAGAAATTACACAATCATAACAAGGTGGCTAAACGGGGAACTCTTAACAGCTCGTGTACAGTAGGGACATACGTAGACACAGGAAGCGAGGACGAGCTACAAAGGAAGAAAATGGACGCGTTGCCCAGGCATGCGGGGATGATGTTAGGAAAGCCAAAGCTCAATTCGATCTGAAGTTGGCAAGGGCAGCAAGAAGTGCTTCTGCAGCTTCAGTAACAGTGAAAGTAAAAACACAGAAAACCTGTGCCTGCTGCCAAATGGCGTGAGTGATTTAGTGACAGTGCAGGCAGATAAGGCTCAAGTGTTCAATGCCTCCTTTGCCTCAGTCTTCGCCAACAAGGTCTCCCAGGTCTTTGTACTTACAGACAGGGTTCGAGGAGGAGAGGAACTTCCAGTAGTGCATGGGGATTGGGTCAGAGATCTCTTGGGAAGATCTCTTGTGAAGCTCAACTCATGCAAGTCCATCAGACTCGGTCAGATGCATCTGAGGGAGCTGGCCGATGTCATTGCAAAGATACTCGTTATTACCTTTTTGAAGGCCATGAAGTTTAGGGGAGGTCCCGGATAACTGGAGAAAGGCAAACTGGGCACCAGTCTTCAAGAAGGACAAGGAGGACAATCAAGGGAATGCAGGCCAATCAGCTTCATTTCAGTTCTCAGGAAAATCATGGAGCAAGTCCTCTTGGAACCTATTTCTGGGATTATGAAGGAGAAGATAATTGGGAATAGTCAGAACGGATTTACCAAAGGCAAATTGTGCTTGATCAACCCTATTGCCTTTTATAATGAGATGACTAGATCAGTGGTTGGGTAGAGAATGTTAGGTGTCACCTACCTCGATTTCAGCAAGACTTTTGACATGGTTTGTCATAACATCCTTGTTGTTTCAGTCTGAAGAGGTGTTCTGCTGGAGAGGTGGAAAAACCAGGTGGGCAGATACAATGGGTAGCGGCTAATGGTGCAGTATGCTGCCTGGAGACTGGTTACCAGTGGAGTTCTTCAGGGTGCATTGGTGACCTAGAGGGGAGATGGAACACGCTCTCATCAAGTTTGCTGACAACACCAGACTAGAGGATGCAGTCCCTGCACTTGAGTGCAGTGCTGCCATTCAGAGGGAATTAAACTAGAGAAATGATCGGACAGGAACCTCTTGAAATTCAACAAGGGCAAATGCTAAGTTTTGCCCCTGGCATAAGCTAGTCCCCTGCAGTAGTATGGGCTGAGGGCTGAGTGGCTGGATGGCAGCTCTGCTGAAAAGGGCCTGGAAGTCCATGTGGGCAGGAGACTAACATGAGTTCACCCTAGTGGGGATGAAGGCTAAGGCGATACTGGGCTGTATCAGTAAGAGTACAGCTAGGATTTTGAAGGAAGAGGTCATTCACCTTTGCTTGGCGCTTGTTAGACTGTAGCTGGAGTTTTTCTCAGCTTTAGCTAGTGAATCAGTTAACACAAGTTATGATTATAGTTGGAGTTGTTGCTAGCTTATTAAAAGTTTTCAGCGCATCTTACCTGTTATAAATGTTTTTACACTGAAAGGCTCTGTCTGAAAATCACTAGTTTTTACAGTTTACCAGTTGTGTACTTGTGTTCAAACATACATGAAAAGCAGCATCGTGCCTTTCACCAGAGATACATGTTCACTGTCTGGAGCTCTTGCTGCCTCATTTTCTCATGGTCTGTCTCTTGGACCACTTCGTAGACAGTAAAGCAGAACAAGTTGTGTTCATATCCTTTATTGTTTTTGCAAATGGAAGCAGCTTAAAGTAGTCCTGAAAGCTTTGACTTTTTTTGTTTTGTTTTTTATTATAAGCAGGTAGAGGGATACCAGTGAGCTTTGCAGTTACGAAGTGAAAGAGTATTGTTTTGTGTGGCTTGTCCTCTGGCTTGTTTGTTCTGTGTGCTTCACTGCATTTTGTATACGGTTCTTTTCACTGCTTGGTGGGCAGAATACATGCTTTCTCATATTCTGCAGGGAATTTGGTAGTACAAATACACTGATTAATGAAGGAAACTGAAAAGGGAGACAAATATCCCAAGCCCTTAGGAGAAAAGGCAAAATTCAAGGGATGTATGTTTTCTATTTGTAGTTTTTCTATTGTACTACATCTGTGGAGTTTGCCAGTGCATTGGATTAATAAGCAGCAATTCCTGTGGCATACATCACAGCTTGTTTTGTAATGGTTTTACATGAGGTAAAGGCTTGCCATTAGCTCATCTTCCATCTCTTTATTGGTTGAACAGACCGAACAGAATTATTTTCCTCCTGTGCCAATGTCATTTGCAATATCTTTAAAGCTTGCATGTTTCTAAAACAACTTTAATTTTGATTCATTTGCGGATGAGATCCACTGTGAAACAAGTAGCATCACTTGATAGCTTCTGACAACCTGCAGCGGATGATTAGCCTGACTGCTCCTCACTCACCTCTGGTTAGGTTCGCAAGGCAAGTGGCACATACTCAATATTTTTAGGAGTAGAATAAAATAAAATAATTACCAAGACAGGATGTTACCAACAATATGTAATACAGCAAGAGAGCTCCTTGCAGAAGTATTTTTGCACTACAGATTCTGTAATCCCAAAATATCTCCCTCTGGCCCGATAAGCTGCTAGAGGTCTGCCATGAGCATGTTTTTAAAACAAATTACAGCACTAACATTGTTGGATGAACTGGACTCCCATTGTTGTAACTATTTGTATGAACATATTTAAATTTTTCTTGATTTTTCTTTGTTGTTTCATACCGCAAGTTTTACAGTTTCGTAAGTGGGACTTTCAGGACAAAAAATTAACAAAAAGTTGAATAATTATTTCTGCTTTCAAGAATTTATGAAGAATTTATTTTTCCTCAGCCTGCTTCTTGGATTTAAGTAGCATCTGCTTTGGGAAATTATGTAGTATTGCTTAACACTTGTATTCATAGCTCAGGCAGATTTACTTAAAGTGCTAGCATTCTTGTAACCTTTTGGAGTGGTGACTGACGTTCTGAGTTAAGTGTGTAGCATAAATAAGTTAAGGCTGAGCACTTCCAGTTTACTTACTATAAACTAATTAAACAATCTTAAAATTGTTCAGTAAGTGGAAATATTCATTAGTCAACATTAGTGTGCTTCTCTCAGGATTTGCTGTAGGGAAGCTGAGCAAATGAAAAAGAAGAAAATAGGACAGTGAGCAATTGTAGTTTTGAAAATGGAACTATAACTGAGGTTTTTTCCTTCTCCTGACTGCAATATAGAAGAGATCTTTAAATGTTTCTAATCTATCTCTGTGGATGCAAACAAAATTTAGAAATTATTTAAATAAACTGTGGTATTAGGGCTCTGTTATGAATTCTTTTGCTTTCTCTTCATTGATATTTTTTAAGTTTGCAGCTAGTTTCTTTTTTTTTATGCTTTTTTAATTGTTAAGTTAACCATTCCAGACAAAGCAGAAGGCAGTTACTGCTAAACCTTTCCATGCTTTAATCAGTTCTATCATCTCGTTTTAAATTTACGTTGCCAAATTTTGATGGTACAAGCTCTGCCTTTAACAGAACTGTTGGTGACTGTTTGAAAAGCACAATGCAGCACATGCAGTTGTGTTCGCACAAAGCAAAGAATAAACCTCTGTTTGTGAATGTTCACTGATGTCAATAGGCTTTTCAGAAGCTCTGCATATTACAGTTCTTAGCACCTAGAATACATACATATTCATTAAAGCAGTACAGTTCAGCCCATGCTCGTGACTTGATTCTCTCCACCCCCTCTTCTACCGTAGTACGAAGTAGAATTATTTTTCTAATACTACTAGTGTGTTCAAGAAGATGTCAGAAGCTCTTTTCTCAAAATTGTCGACCATAAATCTTCCAGCTTCTTCCATCTCGTAAGAAATGTGTTAAATACTAGAAATACTTAAAGCTTTTTGGAATCTTTCATGATGACCCTTGTGACTGTTGAGACTGTGAGGTGCTGGACATGTATGGCATGCAATCGTTTGTATGAACAATTAGTGGAAGAGATAATTGGTATGTAGTAGTGCCATCTGTTAAAGATATGAATGCTTGCTTCTGTATTTGAATATTCGGGGATTTGGTAGGGTGGATGCTAGATATCTGTTTCAAATGCCTTTTTTTTTTGGTAGCTTGGGTTTATTATTTGAACGCTGAAATTGAATAGCTTCTGGAAGTCTGAATGTGTGCATTTTATTGTAGGAAATAGTACTTATCTGTCTCTTGAGTTTAGACTTACTGCTATAACAAGTGTTCTTTACATATATGCACATGTACAAACGCATCATCTACTTGAAAATCATACTGCAAGAATTTAGCAAGTAATTCTAGTTTCATTCATGCACTGCAAAATGACCTTTGCCTTTACTCCTAATGTACAATTAACATCCTTACGAAATGAAAGAGGTTCTTATTTAAAAAAATGTATATTTAACAGTGTGAATTACCTGGACCCTTGATGTTTGTTTGAAAGACTAGATGTTTAAGATAATTGATATCTGATATCCCAGTAATGAGAAGTCCAGACAGCTATTTAATTTGAGCGTTTGACTAACACATTTAACATGTTAATATGTTGCATATTACCTTTGTAGATGAGCCGACTAGCCCTAGTCAAGCACCCGCTACAACAACCGTTCCTCCTAGTCCCGCATCTCCAATCCCTTTACTTCGGCGACAGCTTTCACACGATCATGGTAAGCATTGATTTTGTTTTTTATTATGCAGCAGTTTTCCTTTTCTAAAAAAATTACCTTCTCTGGAGAACAGGTGTGAAAATTGCAATCATTTTGTAGCTTAAAATGAATTGCAGAAAAGTTATTCGGGTTAAAATACATTTGATAATTTTGATTTCCTTGTAGAATCCATCAGGCCTAGTGTCCTGGATAGCCAGCCTGCCACAAAAACTGAGAGATCGAAGTCATACGATGAAGGATTGGATGACTATAGAGAAGAGGCAAAATCGTAAGTTCAGAAAAAATATCTGTTAATTTGCAGATATTTTTTAGAAGTATATAAAAGATTATTTTAACATCTCTTTTTTTTTCTCCCAACAGATGCATTAAGCATGTATCTAGCTTAAAGGGGATCAAGGTAGGTAAATATAAGTAACAGTTTTTAAGAATTATGAATGTTACTGTGACAAATTGTATGAATTATAAGTGCTGTTAAACACAGACATGGAGTTTATTGGAATTGCTACCCATCAAATTATTCATAATTGATATTGATTGATTTGATACTTAATTTATTTTTTTTCTCCCTAACTAGTGCCATATGTATCACATAAGTAAACGTAATCTGTTGTTTATGAGGCTCACCACGTGGTCCTTGATTTTCATTTTCTTCAGCATCTGTAAACAGAGCATATTTATGATGAGCTTTTGTAAGACAAGAACTTACAAATGAGAGTCTAAGATTCCTGCAGTTTCCTAAAACATTGGGGTGTGTAAAGTAACAGTTGTATATTTTACTCTATGGAAACTGTAGAAATCATATTTCCCCTAGAAGGTTCTGTGAGTGGATTTTCCCTGAATGAGGTGTCAGCTTTTAAAACGAAAAGTTAAGCATCTTGAATGTTGAGATTACAGAGAAATGTACTGAGAGATGCACTGTGGGGTTCCTTCTGTGACGTATTTTTTGTTTAGGTCCCAGACAGTCAAAAATCGTCAGAGGACTCTGGTTCCCGAAAAGATTCTTCTTCAGAGGTCTTTGGTGATGCCTCCAAGGAAGGATGGCTTCATTTTCGTCAGCTTGTCACAGACAAAGGAAAGGTACCTGTTTCTTAATGCCCTCCCAGGATAAATGTTAAACTGGTGGAAAATTAAGAGTAAGAAATTTTTTTTTTTTTTAATATTGGGGGTAGAAGCATCAAAAAGACTGACAAAGTTTTAGACCTACTTGTTGGAAAACTGACCTGGGAAACTTCCTCAGCTTCTTTCTAGAGACTGTTTTCTGAATTGCTTTAATTTTACATTTGAAAAAAATCTGTGAAGTAAACTCGTTTCTATGGACTAATTAAGTAGAAAGAATCAGTCGCTTGATTAACCACAGTCTTTTTTCCCCTTTCCTAATAATGAGAAGAGCTCTGATACTAATGAATGTTGCAGAGTTATTGAGTTCAGGTTAACCCTCTGCATAGTCACAGACTTAAGACTCAGGGAAAATCAGGAGTGTGGAATGGCAGTGCTGTATGTGTGTATGTCTGACTTGAATCAAGTTTAAATGGCTTGGGCAAGAGCCCACTAATCTTTTTACTATATTTATTCTAATGCCTCTGTGAAATTTTATAGTCATTTGCTTTCTCTGTTTCTTGCTGCTGTCCTGAGTCCACACACACTCACTGTGTTCAGGGTGGGCGGGATGCTGAACAACCCACTCCCACTTTTGTTTAATCTTTCCAATGGTAATTTTTAAGGGGAGTATAGAAAGATGGTTAGTATTTCTGTTCTAAAAGTTTTGGAGATACTTTTTTAACTGAGAACCAATTGTAAGAAATAACTAAACTGATAAATTGGTTTGTACTTTTCAGCGAGTTGGTGGGAGCATTCGGCCATGGAAACAATTGTATGTTGTTCTTCGAGGTCATTCGCTTTATTTGTACAAGGATAAAAAGGAACAAATGACCCCATCTGAAGAAGAACAACCTATCAGCATCAACGCTTGTTTGATAGACATCTCATACTGTGAAACCAAGAGGAAAAATGTGTTCAGACTCACCACATCAGACTGCGAGTATCTGTTTCAAGCTGAAGACAGAGATAATATGTTAGCATGGATTAAAGCCATACAAGACAACAGCAACTTAAATGATGAGGTAATCATATAATATATAATACAGAAGCCATTATTACTGTCTTTTAATTAAAATCTAATTGTATTTTCTGTTAATTAATACTTCAACCAAAAAAATTTAATTAAACAATAAATCAAAATATGTATAGGAACATACAGGAAAGAGGTGAAAGGCAGGATAGCTGAGTAAATACTTTGAGTTAAAAAAAGCTTGAAATCCTGATAAGCAGATAACACCCTTTTAAAATAAATGGATTAATGTTGTTGCTGACTTGTCTACAACTACACTTTGCACTAAATTGATCTGTCAAAATTACCTAACCTTTTTTAAAAAGGGGATTGCATTAGAAACATTTTGCTCTGTCTTCAGACTCTAGTTGCAAAGTCAAGTACACACTGGCACAGCATGATTCTCACTTGCTCAAAAGTAAAACTTGGAAGGATTATTTTGATTGTGGTGAATGCCCATTTATATGAATTAAATGTGAATGCTAATTACAGGAAGGAAACATGTTATTGTACATAACGTCACTATCTGTGCAGTTAAGTCTCAGTTTGTCCTTTGATGCGTTCACATTTCAATGATGAGCAGCGAAAGAAAATTTCCATGTCTGTGGTCATGTACATCTGTTTAAATTTGAAATAATGAGTCAAAGGAAAGTGAATTGATAAATATTTTTAGACAGATGGTTAAAAGCACAGTTGAACTTAAGGCTGTTTCAGCTGTGTATATCATGTGAATTACTTACATAAGTACTATGTGAACATAGAATTAGGTTTTTCAGAGGATTGATGTGCTGACTTGCCTTTTTTCTATTTAAACTTACTTTCAGTGTAACAGGATTTAATCAGATCTTCATTGCTTTGAAAAAAATCTAAACAGTAGCACTTAATTTGTAACTACTCATAAGAATAGTTTTCCTTTTTGCTTTTAAATAGTATGTCCTTTTAGTTCCCAGGCACTGCCCGTTAGATTTTAGCTGTACAGAAATTTTCATTTTTGATATGATGTCGGTTGATGGAAAGAGTTAATTGCCATATTTTCAAAACAAAGATTGTAAAGTAGATCTTAATTCATTTTATAGGATACTGGTGTCACTAGTAGAGATCTAATTAGTCGAAGGATTAAAGAATACAGTACCATGATGAGGTAGGTAAATTATTTGCTGCCAGCAGTTTTTGTACATTTGTTACCTAGCTTCTTTTTACTGAAGTAATATCTCGTTTCAGTTCTTCAAGCAGCAAAACAGAGCCATCTCCCAAAACACCTCGTCAGAGTCTAAGTATCAGACAGACTCTGCTTGGAACTAAAACAGAGCAGAGGACCCAGAGTCCGCATTCTCCCAAGGATGAATCTGAAAGAAAGCTTCTCACTAAAGGTTTGTGTGCTCTGTGTATTTCTTGAGTTCCTTATAGCCCCATACAAGGCCACTGAGGTGCCTTATCTGGGTTCTTCAAACTCATGAATATACAGGTGCAAACAAGTATTAACTAACTTCTTGAAGCTGTAGCTTGTAATCACTCAGTTTTTGTAACTCCTTCATTTAGATACTACTTTCGATGTACTTCAGGTCTTCTCAGATCACTGAAATTTTTTATTCCAGTCCCCTCTCAGGAAGGTTTTGGCTTTTCTCATACAGCTTCATGTAGTGTTAACAGTAGCAAGCTACTGGTGGTAGGCTTCTCGTGACCAAGGTATTGCCAAGTTTTGAAAATATTTGTATATGTAATTTATACTGTTGTCTCCAGCTGACTTGGAAATAGGTAAATTCTTTTAAATATGCTATTAAGAAAAGAGTTTTCCGCTGAAGTCTTTTATAAGTTGAGAAGAAAGCTTTTTGCTCTGTGTTTAAAAGGCAAAAGTGAAAATGTATTATTCTTTCTGGCACACAGTTAGTGCCTGCTGAGTTCTAAAATACGTGAACCTTGAAGTCTGGTGAGCTGGGACTGCAAACTTTAATCAATAACTGAACTGCATCAGATGAAGTCACAAGCTAAATTTTTTCAAAGAATGTGTAAATTTATGGTGCTTATAAAGGTATTACAGACAAATTCAGACAACTGACTGAACAACCACTTTTGAACTATTTAGTCTTGAATTTAAGCTGTATGTGAATTCTGTTTCATGTTAGCAACAAACATTCCCTTACTCTTGCTGTGCTACAGATTATGTAACTAAACTGCAGTGTCGATTTAAAGGAGATGTTAGGTAAATTTCAAACCTCCTGAAAGAACATTTCCAGAAATATTTTGAATAAGAAGGCAGTACTTTATTAGGAGATTTATAATACAGGATGAATGGGAACTGTAATTTGTTACATGAATTATATAGTAGAAGTAAATAGAGCAACTGAACTTTTATCTGATTTTGGATAAATAACGTTTTTAAATGTTTGAGTCGTGTTTGGAACGATTTAGGAGTGACTAAAATCTGTTAATTATCACAAGACTAGGTAGGTCTCCATAATGTGATGTGTTAGTGTGGTTGTATTATTTCATAGCTAGCATGGCTGTTCTGTGAGGCACTATGTTATTCAGTGGGGACTTATACTTACTTTCTTAAATGTTGCTGGTTTGCTTTTTTTTTTTAATATAGCGTATGTAACTTTAGTCTTAGAATGATGAAGTTCTGCAATACCGTCTGCCTACATACCGAACTCTGTGGTTCGGGTATGTCCTAACATATTTTTCAATTACATAAGAGGAGAAAAGGTATGTTTAAGACAGTAGACAAACATTTAGTGACTTACTGTGGGAAGCTGGGCTAATAAAAGAGGTAAACATGCAATAGGCTGTTTTATCTTCTTAAATTGAATACCTCTATTGCCAACAGTTTTTGTGACTTAAATGCTGTTTGCTTTTTTCTAACAACAAAAAGATGAGACAAGCCCACCAAAAGACAAGGGAACGTGGAGAAAAGGCATTCCAAGTATCATGAGGAAGACGTTTGAAAAGAAGCCATCTGCTGTGGGAACGTTCGGTGTTAGACTTGATGACTGTCCCCCAGCTCATACCAACAAAGTATGAAAGAAGAATTTTTCTTTCCATTATGATTTTTAAATAGTTTTTGCATGATTTACTTAAAAAAATACATATGTGTATACCCTTTTTTCTTCAGTATATTCCACTGATTGTTGATATATGCTGCAAGCTGGTTGAAGAGAGAGGTCTTGAGTGCACAGGTATTTACAGAGTTCCTGGAAATAATGCTGCCATCTCAAGTATGCAAGAAGAACTCAACAAAGGAATGACTGACATTGATGTTCATGATGATGTAAGTCTTTGATCACAGCATTTCCATTCTGAACGCCCAAGAACTTCTGGTTGTGTTATGATTATAGAAATATAAAGCATGTCTGTCCCTTTCTTCTAAATGTGTAGAAATGGCGAGACTTGAATGTAATAAGCAGTTTGCTGAAATCCTTCTTCAGAAAGCTCCCAGAACCCCTTTTTACCAATGGTAAGTTGTTTCTGTTACAATTTTGCCTTTAGGAATTGTTAAACAGTTATCTTGTGTCTTTCAGATGATTCGGCAGACTATCCAGTGAAATCATCAGAACTGTATGATAAATGTCCTCTTTCTTTCCTAAAGAGCAGAGAGTCAGGATGATTGTAGAACTTAAGAATAAGACCTGTAAATAGAATTTCTCTTACTGTGAAGGAATTACAAATACTGTTGAAGTTTTGGACTAAAATACTTCAGTATATACAGTTTAATATTTTGTTCACTCTGGCAAGCTAAAAAAAAAAAAAACAAGTTCTCAATTTTTTCCTTTTGTTATGTACCTGTTATTGTTCCTGGAGCAATTTAAAAATGGGAGGGGGGGGGATGTAGGTGGTAACTTTGATTATAGGATGTAATCAGATCCATATAAATTACTTCTTTACAACTCCCCTAGAAGTATTAATAGACAAGTGGGCAAAGGCAGAATTTGACTTACGGAAATACAATTTCTTAAAGCCTATTTCTTCTATAGCATTGGTTTTCATATTTACTATTGGATAGCTAAGTATGACTGTTCTGTTCAGTAAGTGGTCAATAAGATCAGGTTTTGGAATTGGAATAGAATGATTTTTTTCACTAAGGATAAAAAAAATTTACAGCAGTGTTTTTGTTACTATTGCAATATTATATGAAAGCTGTTTTTTGCTGCCATCTTACTGTATTACATACATGTATAGTGGGTTAATTTATGAAATGTAAAGGTCATATATATATATATATATAAATTTAACTTCTGCTTTTTTAACAGACAAATATGCAGATTTCATAGATGCTAATAGAAAGGAAGATCCTGTTGAACGTCTCAAAACACTGAAGAGACTGGTAAGCGGACCTCAGGTGTGTTGTAGGTGCACCACAAAATTAGCATTAAATGTTTAATATTCTGAATAGTTGTTATTTGTTTCAGATTCATGATTTACCTGAACATCATTATGAAACACTCAAGTTTCTTTCTGCACACCTGAAGACAGTAGCAGAGAATTCAGAAAAGAACAAGGTATCATAAGCAAAAATATATTTTGTTTTACTTCATTCATTAAGCACAGTTTCTTATGCAGGATTATTTCTAGTGAATAAGTCCAAAATTTATTATTGTAAATAAAATTAAGGCCTTTGCTATGTTGAGAAGATTTTTGGATTAGACTAAGGACTCCTTCAAAATATGTACTAGTTTAGTGTGAATGAAGTTGGAGCGTGTTTAAACTAGAGTTAATCTGTGGGAATAACTGTTTATATCCTAAATTTGTCCTAAGTCTGTAAATTTCATGTAATCCAACTAGAAAACAGTATAAGTGTGCCTGGGGAGGGATTTCAGATAGTTTAAGCAAACACTTTTGATTACTGTACTGCAAATTGTCTGTGTAAGGCTTAGAGGAATGCTATGCATGTTGTCTATTAATAGTTGACTTTGAAGATGAGAAGAAGTAGGTGTCTGGTAATACGCTTTTAAAAATTTAATTAGTTCTTTATTGTGCAGAGCTCTGTAAAATACAATATCAGTCCTTACTTTACTGAACTTTTAGTGATTGTTTTAAGAATAGGACTTGCTGTAATTACTTGAATGTTTAATGACCCGATAAATGCTTTGAATGTCTTTGGGAAAGATAATCTGTGATGTAAAGGGTAGTGATCTTTTCATTAATAGCACTAAGGATAGCCTCTTGTCATTTCCAAAGAGTGGGGAAAGTGTCTGAGTTATTCTGCATTAACTGCTTTCTTGCATGCTATTATCCTACAGTGAATGCAAATAACCATATCCCCTCTTTCAGATGAGGTAGGGGAACTCAGAGCTACCTAGTATCGATGTGCTTATGGAGGCACAGGACAAGTGACATGGTGGCTTGTTACTTGGCTACAAATATGCAAGGAGGCAGGAGAAAGTTCATGTGATTGATCCTATTTAAACCATAATAGATGAACCTATGGCCAACTTTAAGTCCTAAATCATTTAAAAGTCTTTGTTCAAATAAACATGGCAGGTTCCTACATCAGTTGTACAAATAATACCCTCTAATTAATACTTTTTAAATTGCTGTTTATTTAGTTTTACAAATGATCACATTTTGAGTGATCATTATAGTCAACATTATAATGGAATGATAGTGCATGCCATTTGAAAGTGCAATATCTAAAGCAAGCCTTTGTCATGTTATGTATCCAGTGTACTGTATAAATATTGTTTAAATAGCATTAATAGTATAGAATATATAAGGGATAGATAAGTGAAGTTGTATTTTAATTGTATGACTTGCCCAGAACCGCAGTCCAAGTCAAAGCAAGGGTTAGGACTTGGTGCATTCTGCTTGCAATTTTGTTCTCATAAAAAAGAGGCCCTTATCTCCTGTTTGTTACTGGTTTGTTCCATGTCACAACAGGAGGAGTAAACTGTAAGTCAAATAAGTAAGCAGAAATAGAAGATAAAAGTGTTTTGCTGCTTCTTTCTTGAAATTTTGTCAGAGATGTAGTTTAAAAAGTAAATAAAGTGGATGATTAATGTGGCTGACATGACTGGATAACTCTGAATCTATCCTGTGAATAGATTTGTAGCATCTACGATGTTGGTTGCTGCCACCTTCTCCAAAGTAAATATGAACTGAAAGAGCTCTTTGTCAGTAGACAAAATAGTGTTTGATTAGTAGCTCAATTTTTTCATGTGTCATGTAAACATTTTTCAGATTAAAACCCAGGAAACTTCCAATGCCTTTTTTTGAAGTGTCTTAAAACATCAGCGTTTCTAAATAAAACCAAAATAGTCTGTCTCCATCAAAGAACCCCCCCCAACCCCGCTCAAAAGCATGCAGAATATGTGTGAGTTCTTTAGTCTAGACTTTTCTGTGCTTGCCAAGCTATTTTCGTACAATAGATTAATGAACAGTTAACTTTGAACTGCAGAAGAGTTGCATGCATTTATTTCAGTTGTATATAGAAGAGTTGTAAAGTAGTGTAGCATTCTATCTAATTGGCAATGTGTTTTCAAAAACTTTTTTCTTTGTCCTTATTTAAAATGATTCCCAAATGTTAGAGGTATTATGTTAGCGTATTGTACTTTCTTATTGTAAATGTGTGATATGGAAAACTTTCATTTCTTAGATGGAACCGAGAAACCTGGCAATAGTATTTGGTCCAACACTCGTGAGGACATCTGATGATAACATGACACACATGGTTACACACATGCCAGATCAATACAAAATTGTAGAAACACTCATTCAAAAAGTAAGTGGATGCATTTCATTATTTAAAAAAGATCATGCACAGACAGACCAGCTTTCTGTTACTGAGCCAGTTTGGCTCTGGTATTTGTCCTTCAAATTCAGGGATATCATTTTTACTGATGTCCATGTTTGATTGTTCCACATTTGGATTTTGCGTTTCCTGTGGGGTTTTCACCTTTTTTATTTTAAATTGTAGCATGACTGGTTTTTCACAGAAGATGATGCTGAAGAACCCCTTGTAAGTATTGTGGCATAAATATTTATGTTCTAATGATCTTAGTTTAGAATCTGCTTCTGCTGTTTCTAGAATGTCTTAATATTTCTTATTACGTCACTGTATGGTTTGCTCTTCAGAAGCACCTTTTTAGCTCTCCAGTCCTTGCAGTAATGAATTTTTTAAAAGGCCATGCATTTGTTTTAAAAACATAAAGCAATGTGGGAAAATTAGAACTCACGAGGAAAGTGTGTCCTCAGGTGAATAATGCAATTTTCTAAATGCTGTTGAATCATAATGAGCTATTTATGAAACGATGATGAAGAGATCTTTGTTTATTAACTATAGACAACAGTTCAGGAGGAAAACACTGTAGAATCTCAGCCAGTGCCAAACATAGATCATTTACTCACCAACATTGGAAGGACGGGAGTATCTCCTGGAGACGTATCAGGTAACTCTTGCCCGGACAGTGTTAGTCCGTAGGCTAGAATAACCTACTCTGTTAACTCACTGTAACTTTCTAATTTCTGTTTTCTTTTACTAATAAATTGCTTTTCTCTTTTCTAAAAGACCATTAATAGTCTTTTAAAAACTTGAATTGTTGATGATCATGCATGATATAAATTGGAAAACTTTGTTGTCTAACAGGAATATAATCATTGAAAGATGAGGCTTGCACATACTATTTTATTTATTTACAGTAACCCATCCAATCATCATCGTGAGGTGAAGCAGATATGCTGCTGTAAAGTGGTTTGTTGTGATGGCAGAAAGATTGATCTTCTACGGTGTTCTAATATTGCTCCTTCCCAGTGTTAGGAATGCAAAAAAGTTATGTTTTCTTGTCAAGTGGCAGACACTTTAATAAATATTTTGCAGTATGTCTATACTAAAGCTGATTTCCTTCTGTTTATGAATGCCATCCTCTTTTGTGGCTAAGGACAAGCGCTGCAGGCTCTTTTTTGGTGACTTTTTCCCCCCTTCCCTTCACTATGCTGTTGCACTTAACCCAGCATGTTATATCCCACAAATGTTATCCCTTCGTCTCTAGCTTTTGTTTCAGTTTTCAAAGGGTTATTCAGCACTTACTGAAACAATCACTTTATACTGATGTTGTAACAGGCGAAGTGGGAGGAGTCTATCACACGGTGATGTCACTAGTGGATTCTGTGATGTCACTGATGGACAGCTGGAACTGTAGGAAGAAGGAGGACTGTTGCCCACATTGTAGCTGCCTTGTCTGCAGAAACCCCCGTTTCTTGTAAATGGAAAAAAAAAGTTGATCTGTGCTGTAAATTTTCTTTTAAGAGTATTTTAAACAGATCAATGCTACTTTTTAAAAGTTTTTCTGCTGTTTCTTGTTATCTCTGAAGCAGACCCTGAGGAGAAATAGCATGGTATGGTCTACCAGTCTTTCTAGTCATAAAGCATTAGCCATGTGTCAAAAAGGGGTGTGGCAGGGGGCTCAGCTCACTCTTTCTAGGGAGAAAGTCCCTAAAGTTGGAAAACGTACAAGTTCATATTTTCTAGTCACTAAGCTAGCCCCTTTCTACCCCCTTTATAACTGTATAATCTTGGGTTTTGCGAGACAGTAAAACTATGGTGTCCATTTTTCATTTCATAATAGCGCTTGCTATGGAAAAGTACAAAACTGATAGCTGCTGAAATCTAGCTATTTTAAAAATAAAATTTTACCTATCCATAGTCAGAAGTGAAGAGGGATGTAAAATTGGGGTTTAACACACCAAATGTAATTCATTTCCTTCAAATGACTCAAGTTTCACAAAAAGAATATTAACTGCAAGAACCGTGATTTGTACTTAGGGCAGCCAACAGGACTAAGACATTCGATTTTGCTTTGTGTATCCTGAATCTCAGGAGAGTACGCAGTACAATCCTGAAAAGGTCTCTCAGCTGCGGTTTTGCAGGGGCTGTATTCTTAAAACATTGAATAAACATTAGTATTTCTGTTTTTTTATTTAGAAGAACAGGGCTCCTTTGCCATTCCTATCATTGAGCTGGTTCTGCCTACAATTCACAGCATCCTTTCATGGCGGTGGCTTTCTGTGGTGCAGCTTGCATCTTTGTGAGCTCTGACTATCCACTCTGTTCTGGTTTTTATTTGCTTCACATTTTGTTCTGTGCTTGTCTTTTTCCATAAGTCCAGCATTGTCTGTAGCAACAAAAAAAAATTTGCACAGAACTGAGCAGAATTTTTTTTAATTTTTTTCCACAGATTCAGCTACTAGTGACTCAGCAAAATCTAAGGTAAAATCATTTTGTGAAATTATATAGTAATAAAGTTTTGAAATCTGTTAGATATTTACTTGCTTTATTAAACTGATTGCTTACATGTGGGTGTACTATAGAGCTACACAGAATTTTTTAAATAAGAGGAAATAACTGTGTTCTTACCAATTAATTTTGAAGTGCTACAATGAAAAAGTATCACTAGTTTGCAGGTTGTTGCATCTTCCAGGACAGTCAGCAGCAGACATAGAAACAGCTATGTTCCAAACTCTTGTAATTGTGAACCTTGATCTCATTTTTGAATCTCATGTAGCAGAGGTAAACATGTATGGTATGTTCCTCTTTATTGTTGGCATACTAGATGTTGGCATACTATTGTTGGCATACTCCTAGACAATGTTTTTTATCATCTTATTTCATTGGATAAAGTATATGTAGAATTCAGCCTTTTCTTCTGTAGAAGGTAGTAGCTCTTCCTCTTACAGGAAACCAAAGAATGTGATCAAAGACTGCCATGCTAAATCTCATTAGGAAGTATTGCTGTGGTTGAGAGGATAGTCTACTAGGCAGGGAATAAGACTGGAACTTGGGCAATAGTTTAATCCTTGATTTAACAACAGATTTCTCATCTGACCCACGGACAAATCTTTCAGTCTCTTTGACTGCGTTCAGTAGTCACTAATGCTGGATGGATGTCTGCAGTGCTGGGTAGCGTCGCAGCACGCAGTTGATTTTGTCAGCTGTGAGCGCATGATACAGCTTTATGCTGTATCCCAGTCTGTGTGAAGTCCTATCCTCAGCTCATCCTCCTGGTTCATTGTGAGATGCTGGCCCAGTGGCTTTGTTGAGGATACTTGTTGGTGGCTTGACCACTGCCTCGAAAAAGCCCTGCTGGGACACAATATCACATTGCATCTGTCAGGATGCTGCATTATTTGCGGCTTCCCCTCACTAAGCACTTGTTGCAAGCAGCGTAGAGCAACAGCATCAGTCAGACTGTGGTCACAGGCCTGCAAGTGGCAGTGCAGATACATTCAGGTTTCCTGTGCCAGCAGCCTTCGTTCCTGCTCAGCCTGGATCGCTTGCAGCAAGATAGGCTCCACGTGGAGTTCCAGCTGGCTGCGTTGCTGGATATCCTTTCTGGGGAGAAGGATATGATCGCATCTGTTCCCATTCCCATGAAAAAACGCCAGCTGGCTGCGTTGCTGGATATCCTTTCTGGGGAGAAGGATATGATTGTACCTGTTCCCATTCCCATGAAAAAATATCCTGAGTTTGCCCATGCTTTATGGGAATGGTAACTAACTCAAGAGTGCCATTTAAGTGGTGACTTGGAGACTGGTAGTCCTTGACCACAAGTGGTTTGTTTTTCATCAGTTTAGGACTGGCATTTGCCAGCTAGCAGAAGAATTCAGGAGGTGTCATCTACCACTCAGAAGGTTCTTTTTGCACGCTGCCCATAGGCAGTCATTGTGCAGGAGATCATACCAGACTTTGCAGATGCTTGTTTCTGTAATGGCGTCAGAGCTCTCAACAAGACTTACGTGTTTCTTCTCTCCGCTTTCTCCTGGTCTCTACCAGCTCTGCTTCAAGAGCATGGAGTATTTGTCTGTCATGTAGCAGGATGTTCTAAAAAAACTCTTCCTACTGTTAGTTTGGTAGAAATCCTCCCAAACCCTTCCCTGTCCATATTTATGTAAACAAATTAGAACAGCTTTGCTGCTGAGCCTGTCATGCTCAATATAGCCATTGTATTATTTTCTTGCTATTTAACCCTGGCTCGTGAAGTCATACACTGGCAATTTTGACCATTTCCAGGACCTCTGTAATTAATTTCTGAGGAGCTATTGAATCAGAAGGAAATATGCACTATTGAATCAGAAGGAAATATGCACCTCCTCACTAAGAAAAAGTTGTTCAAAAAAAAAAAACCTACTGTTTGCTCTTTTTGTTCAGTGCTTTACTTTGTATGGCCAGTGTATTTATGCTGCAGTAGTAGGCATCCTACAACAAGAGTTCGCTGTCACATGGGGGGGCTGCGATTCTGTATTTATGGAGCATGGACCCACCTTGTTGGACAAGAACCAAATAGTTAGATGATTATTAGGGTGAAATAACTATCCCTTTGTCTTTAAGCTTATTCTCTGATGGAGTATCTAATCAGTAAATGGTCCTTTTAGTAATCACGTCCCAGTTTTTTTGTTAAAGCTGTTACGAGGGCAATCCTTCCTGACTTTTCCTCTCCCTCTCTGAAGTGCTGCATAGTAACAAATGATATGAATTTCGAAGACTTTTTGAGCATAGCCCCTTCGCTGCTGGTCCGGGTCTTGTTTCCTCCGGTCAGAGAGAGAGGCTAGACATCTGAAGGCTGACTTGGATTCAGGTAGCCGAAGGCTGCTTCTTGTTAAGCCTTAGAAGCAAACATCAGATTTCAGTCCTGCTATAGTAAAGATCCCCTTCTGTAAGCAACCGTCCTTTTCTGTTCATAGCGTTGCTGTTTTCTTTTCTTGAATGTCTGTAGTGTGCAACGTGCATTCTCGGTCAGTGGTCAAAGACAGGGTGGTCCCTGCCCCAATCCTCCTATTTTTGGAAAATAGCAAAAGGGTGGAACGCAGGAAGGCACAAAGCTTCGAGGTGGACAGGTGATAGTGCTGTCAGTGTAGTGAGAATAGTTTTTAGTGACATTTATAAAATGGAATAATTGTACTTTTTGGTTTTTTGCTTCCGTGTTATTCTAAGGGCAGACTTCTTTCTGCTTTAGAAGGAATCTATTTCTGTATACTTTCTGTATGTATGGCTAAATTAGGATTTTGTATAGCTTTGATTATATTGATAGTATTGAATGGGTATGGTTTTCAAACTCGGACAACTTGAAAGATGAAAAAAAAAAAGCAGAAAAATTACTGGAGAAGTTAGCCTTTCACACAAATAAGAGGAGGGAGCAGGACCTCATCTGTCAAGCAGTTTCCATTACAAACCAATCTTGCAAACGTCTTCTTGCTTTAAAGCAGTCTGCTTTATTAATCAGTCAAAAACTAAATTTCTGCATACAAAAAAAGTAGTCTTTGTCAGGTTGGAGGGACTTGAATGAGAAGTGGAAGTCTCAGGATGCAGATTGACTAGTAAGGCAATGTAATGTAGACTATGGAAAGAATATGGAAATATTTCCTTAATAAAGGCATCATTCTCCTCTGGAGATGTATTTAAAAAGTCTCAGACTAAGGAGTGTTTCTTTGCAATTTCTAATCCTGTCCCCTCCCCCCCTCTCTTTTTTTTTAAACAGGGTTCTTGGGGTTCTGGAAAGGATCAGTATAGCAAGGAACTGCTTGTGTCCTCCCTTTTTGCAGCAGCTAGTCGCAAGCGGAAAAAAACAAAAGAGAAACCTCAACCTAGCAGCTCAGAAGATGAGTTGGATAATGTGTTTTTCAAGAAGGAGCTTGCAGAACAATCTCGTGGTGATACAGCAAAAGAGGACACAACTAAAGGGGAGTATGAAAAAGAGAGAGACACAGGGAGAAAACAGAGGATGTTTGTCCTGAAGGAAAAAGAGAACAGCAGTAAAAAAGATGTGAATGTTGTAAAGGATGAAAAGAAGCTGTTAAAGAAGGAAAATATCCTATCAGAGGAACCTTCACTGCCTTACCATGAAAAAAATACAAAATCGCCTAATCTCAGCTGTCGGCCAACCATGCAGAAGAATAACTGTAAAATGCCCATTTCACAATCTTCTTCCCAGGTTGAGGAGACAGTGTCCGACTCTGGCACTATGCTTAGCACTTCCTCCCAGGCATCCCAGCACAGATATTCATGCAAAAAAGTAGCCAGCCCTGAAATTAAACACAATGAGTTTTTAGCAGCTGATGTCAGTTCCATCACCTCAGATTATTCAACTACTTCATCTACTATATATATAACTGGCTTAGATGCCAGTATGCTGAGCCCTGAGGTGCAGTCAGTGACAGAAAGCAAGGGAGAAGATGCTGATGATGAAAGAAGTGAATTGATCAGCGAAGGGCGTCCTGTGGAGACAGACAGTGAAAATGATTTCCCTGTCTTTGCCACAAGTTCTGCTGCTGAAAGGCTGTCTAAGGTGAAAGTTTCAGAAGTTGTAAAGACAAGTCGGAGGAACTCTGAAGAAAGTGAAGTAAGTTGTACTGAGGGAAGTTCAACACCAAAGTTAGAGAGCCGCAGACTTTTTAGCTCACACAAACTTATTGAATGTGATACACTGTCTAGGAGAAAGTCTGCACGGCACAAAACGGACAGTGAGGGTTCAGGGGATGCGAAGAGTGAGAAGGACTTGCCTACTGTGACCAAAATGTTTGACATAATGAAAAAAGGAAGATCAACAGGCAGTTTAGCTACATCAGCCAGAAGTGAGACTGATAAACAAGAACCTACCTGGAGACTTAAAATTACAGATAGGTTAAAGCTGCGACTCAAATCATCTGCGGATGATATGTTTGGAGTTGGGAATCAAAAATCTAACTCAGCAGAGACTGCAAAGAGAAAAAATATCAGGCGAAGGCATACGCTTGGAGGACAGAGGGATTTCGCTGAAATAAGTGTCCTGAATGCTTGGAAAGCTCAAGAGCCAAGTCAAAGTAGAGAGAGAGAATCTGAGCTTTCGGCTGTGAATCGGTTGAAGCCAAAATGTCCAGCCCAGGACCTCTCAATCTCAGACTGGCTTGCACGAGAACGTTTACGCACTAGCACAACTGACCTTAATACGGGTGAAACTGGAAAGCCCAGACTTGAGAACACTAGCTTAGCAGATGTTTCAAAGGCAGATCTGCCTTCATCTGCAGAGATGCAGGCAGATGAAGGCAGTTCTTCCAGCAGCTTGACTTTGATTAACAGAACACCACCGTCGGGACCATTTCAGCCACCAGACCAGGTAAATGGCGAAAGTTATCAGAACATGAACAAAAACAACTTTAGCCCAGCAGTTGATGCCCATCCTCATAAACTGTCTGGGACCCAAGTGGTTAGATCTCGATTCTACCAGTATCTTTGAAAGGGGGAGATATGTCCACTACAGCAATTCATTAACTTACTGTTACACTTCCCAGTAACTGTGTGTGTGTATGTGTGTGTACATATACATATATATGAATTGCAGGAAATAGTCCATGTATGGATATTGATTTTATATTTTAAGGAAAAGTATATTTGATGGCTGCATACAAATGTTGAACAAAGCATCTGATGCAACATGCTGTGTAGTGTATACATGGTTTTACGATTGAGAGTTGGCCTGGCATTAATATGCAGAAAAATTGTTCTTTTGGTTTAGTCACTAACAAGTGCCTCATCATAAATTCATTTGGTTTGTTAGGGTGCCATATTGTTAAATTAGAGAAACTTACTACAAACAAATGAATGCATTTTACTGTTAACGAATTTCATTACATTTTACAAATGTTAACACAGGTGGCTACAGAGCTTCCATTCCTTAGGCATTCCAGTAAATCTCGGAGTTTTATATTTCCAATTTTAATACAGATTTTGAGTTTTACGTGACTTGAATTTTTAATCTTTCTGTAAAATAAGTAACTTAAATGTACATATTACATGTGTATCTTTTCTTCAGATACCAGATTTGATATAAATGTTGTAACATAGGCGTGTAGATAGTGGATACTGGATGGAACTGGTTTCTTTTATTGAGAATATAATTCTGCATGAAGACCTAATGAATCCAAACCTGTATCATGCCTGTGTGCATACCCACTTAAACACTGGAAATAAAATTGTTTTGGTGACTCTTGTGTGATGTGACTTTCATTCTAATGAATGGTTGTAAAATGTCATGTTTACAAGTTGCAGCCAGCAACTGCACTCAGCATCAGAAAAAACCTATAGTTATTGCCCAAAATGAATGGCATTTTGCATGGAAAGAGGCCGCTCAAAGGTTCTGAGTGGTTGAATGTGAAGATGCTGCTATTACCAGTGTCCCCCCATGTAATAAGCAATGCTTTGCTTACAAGTCTATTTTGTGGGATGACGCTGTGAAGGGTAGTATGTGATAGGTTCAGTTGGTTAGGTATTTTCATTTTGTCATGTAGGCTGATTCTAAAGTATGTAGCAAGTTGTTTTATGTTTAATATGTTGGGTCTGTAGCACTGAAAAGAGTATCTATAATTCTCTCCAAGTCATAATGTGTGAGTACCAGTATCTGCCCTTTCACTTCTGCTATTCAAAACAATACATTAGGTGTACCTAAGGGTCTTGGTTTGTTTTACTGTTTTAACTATGAAGACTAGTTCATACCCTAAAAACCCTTCTGTGTATGAACTGTGTCCATATACTGTGTGATATATTTTATTTCTTCTATTTCCTTGCACATCTTAAAAACAAAATTGTTCCTCACTTTATCCACAGCTGGGTATTCCCCTATCTCTCTCAAATGTCAGCTCCTGATATTACTACTGTCACTTGCTTGGTAGAAGATTAAACTTATATTGGTGATAAATAGGCAATGAACATCATGAGCACAAAGAATACTACTTTTATGCATGAGTTCCCAGTACTGGGAGGAGAAGGAATAATTGAAACTAGGATATGAAGACAGATGTGATTTCAAGCAGACTTCTTTCCAAAGTTACTGTAACAGTCTCATACTGTAATCCATTATATTAACTGTTCCTTGTGAGAAGCCATTATAAGAATTGTCTGTGAAGAAAAGCATCAGGTGTGAAGCTCTCACTACATAATTCTGTAAGGTCTCTGCACCCAATACCAATTCACATAAAAATGAATTATGTTGTTGTGGTCTCCTTGCAAACTTGAAAGGTGAAATGGAAGTAAAAATGTTGTCATATGTTTTGTGAAGCACACAAAATCAGTACTTGCTTATTTTTGCTTCAGTCCTAATGGTGTATGAATTAGGTATTTCAACATACGGTATTGCGATGCTCTATAATGCTATTCTTCACCAGTATCCTTTTTCATTTATTGGAGGTGTGTTTTGTCCCATCACTGATCTCAGAAGAATATTAAAGCATTTGTTGAGCATATAGGGTAAGCTGTAGGGATCTTCTAGATGAAGCAGTAGATGTACAGAAGTACATATGGGTTCTAGGAGCCTGAACAGTCATCTTCCGATTTGGTAGATCAAGTTAACTTTCACTTCGTAGCGGTTAAAGATAACTAATAATTGGTGCTGCTAAGCCTAGATGTGTAACTTGCTAGCTGTTATGCTTGAGAACGTAGAAGATGTATTGTATTGACAGGAACATAACACAAGATTTTTGGGGGGAAATTTTTGTATTTTTTAAAAAGGCAGACTATGCTCCAGGTACAAGTGCAAGGCTGTGGCAGCCTCAGTGCTGCTGAGAGCTGTGCTAGCTGCACTGCAAGAATTGCAGAGTGGTTGCATTCAGTGCAGGAACTCCTGAGCAGTTGCAGGAGGAGCCTGGATGAAGCCAGGAACATTAATGGTGGTGCCAGGCAGGGGTGGCAGCTGTTCTCACCACCGCTGCCTTGCCCTTTGCAGGTAAATCAGATCTTGGAGGAGCTAACCTGGTCAGCAGAATTAGGAGGGAGGGAAGCTATAAGGCAGCCCTCAAGTTGGAGGGGAGGTGGAGCTACGCTTAGGATTGAAGGGAGTCATCTCTAGGGTGTATCAGGGTGAGGTGATTAGAGAGATTGACCTGAAGAAAGTAGGACACAGTGTTATGCTGGGCTCTGGCAACATGCCTGAGGTGTGGGGGTTGGGTTGGTTTTGTTTTCTTTTTTTTACAAAAGAAGGAAAATGAATGTAGTAACCTGCCCTATGGGGAGGTATATGGGTGCCAGTATTTAGAAGTGGTGTAAACAGTTGCACAGAACCAGAGCATAGTTGGGGTTGGAGGGCACCTCTGGAGGTTGTCTGGTCCAAACTCCTGCTCAAGCAGGATCAGCTAGACTAGGATTCCCAAGGCCATGTGCAATCAAGGTTTTAATATCTCCAAGGATGACACAACCTCTCTGGGTAACCAGTTCCATTTTTCCGCCATCCTCACAGTAAAAAGGATTTTTTTTTCTTATGTTTGAATGGAATTTCCTCTCTTTCTATTTGTGCTTGTTGTCTTTACTCGTCATCAGGATTCAGATTGGCAGGAAAGTACTTTTGGGCTGAAGACTGCTTGGAGCTCTGTAGTTGCATTTCATTAGAAAAAGGTCCAAGCTTAAATCTGATGGGGCAATAATTAATTAAATAATTAAAGAATGAACTGTCTTGGTAGTGATAGCATTTGGATTTTTATAACAATTCCAAGCAGCAGTTTCTGTTTCAGTGGGTGTCAGTGGTTTAGTTTGAAATTCCTTTTCAGGGATCTAGTAGCAGACATGCAGCACATTCCAGCTTTTTAAGCCTTTCTGAAGGGCTTGCGGTCTTCGTTAGTATCACTCACAACACTGATAATGAGGAATTAAGACATGGCCACAGTCCAGACAGCTTCTCAACTTCTTTTTGCATTGCTGCAGAGCAGAAGGAAAACCCTTTGCTCACCTGCACACGGATCTCTTCCTGTCTGTATTAACTTGAGTAAAACTTCTCACCACTTCATCCATTTGGGAAGAAAGAGTTTGAAATGTGGCCTCATCTGCTATAAAAAGCTGTGTGCTTGTTTTTAAACCCAGGCCTTTATGCAGAGACCCACTTTAAATATGAATCAAGCAATTAATTGTGCCAGTATGTGGAAATAAGTGTGCAATTTTATACATGGCTGGGAGGGGGAATGAATTAAAACAGAACTGCCATCACTGAAGTGCTGCATCTAACTGTGGCTCTCAGGCATGACATTTTTAAAATCTGCTGCCTTAATCATCTGTTATCATCCCTACATGTCTCCAAGCTTGCAGGAAGAGCTGCCTCTCAGCAGGGATGCCTGTCAGATGGATTTTGACCCTGAACAATTCCAGACAGAAATGTCCTGCACGTCCCTCTTATTTTTCTCTCCTGCCAGGCACACCCGCTTTGGCTCTGCCTGCCCTTTAGCTTGGCCTGTCCGACACAGGGCTTGGTGCTGCATGTCTGCGTTACCACTTCAGCCCTGCTGGTGCAGCCAGCCAGCGGGCAGGGACAGCGGCAGCTCTCCTGCAAAGCTCTGGACTGGCGCGCCTGCAGCAGACAGCAGCCATGTCCCATGTGCCTTTCCGCCTCCTTGCTCTTGTCCTGTCTCCCGCAGCTAAAGGAGATGGTGAGTAGCTTCTTGACTGTTTTTCGTTTGTTTCTCCCTCCCCCCCTGCCCCGAGCGGTGAGGTCCTGTCACATCTGAATTCCCAGGATCAGTGTAAAGCAAAGAAACTCAATAGTCAGTCAAGGACTTGTGTTGGAAACGCACCTGCTAGCAGGTTTGGTACCCTGGAGACATGGTACCCTGCTGGGATATCTTTTTCTGAAGAGCCCCTGTTGTCTTTGCACTGCCCAGAAGTTGGTGCGAGTTATATCTGGCACTGTGTGCGCCAGAGCGCCCTGGTGCCAGCAAGGAGGATGGGCTGGTTTCTGCACAGTGTTGTTTCAAACATGGAGGCCCGCTGCTTGTTCAGGGACAGAGATGCCGCCTCCTTACGCTGACAGCAGCTTCCTTAGCACTGAGCCTCATTGCAGCAGCTGCCCAGCCGCTCTTGTCCCTAGATCAGACTGCAGCTGCCTCCGGCGTATGCCTGTGTGACTGTTGTTTGCGGCGTGAAACTTGGCTATTTAATCACTAGCCTGTGCTGTTCCCTTCTCTACTGAAGTGTTTTTTTCAGAGGCCTATTGATTTTTCTGAATAATCTGCCCAACTTTCAAAAGCATCCCTGCTGCTGAGTTGCTGTTTGCAAAAGCCCCTAGTGAAAGCCTGACACGTTCACTGTTATACAGCCAGGACAGGGAGGGGGTCAGCCTTACTGTCCACTGCACGCTCCAGGGATTGCGTAGGGGCCCTTGGTTATTCATACACCTCTTGTCAGTGCCTAAATTCAAACAGGTAGGGCAAAGGTGCTGCTAGAGCCCCCAGCCCAAAGAGGAGCTGAGAAGCAGCAGCTGGAGCAGGACGAGACTTGGTGAGCGGAGGAGGGTGCGTGGGCGGCTGGCAAGCCCCACAGCAGGCCCCACGGCGCAATGCCGCACACCCGGCGACCCGCCTTAGCTGTACGTGGCTCATGGCGGGCTGCGCTTGTGGAGGTACTGAGGAGCAGAGATTAGCAGGTTGTTTTTACGTGAGTATTGGATGCCTCGGGGACATCAGACTGACAGTCCGAGAACACAGGTTAGTACTCTTACCATTTCACTTGAACGTAAATTTGATTATGTACCATAAAGGAAAACCCTGGTAGTACCCAGCCTCCTCGTGTTCCCATCTGATGTATGTGAACATGGAGTAGCCCTACTTAGTAAGGCGATAACTGAGTTAATCAATCAGGCTTGCTCCCTTCAGGGCAAGGGAGGAACTTTTTCAACCCTTGACAAGATAGGAAACCCCTCCTCTTAAACTTGAGAGCCTGCCTCAGAAAAAGCACTCGGTCCCGTGGGTGCAGTGTGACAGGAGTTGGAGTGCGCTGCATCCCACCAAAACGAGGTGCTCACAAAATGGGCTGCAGAGCCCCTGCTTCTCGGCAGTGCAGGGCTGGGCGGGCTCCAGCTCGGCCGCTCAGCACGAGCGCCCTGAACGGCACCTCCACTTCGCCTTGGCGCCGGAGCCCCCGGCTTGTCCCCAGCTTGGTGCTGCCCCTTGCCCTACGGTGTTGAGGCTTGTGTACCCTGTACCCACGTGCCCCTTCTGCACCAATGGGTGTTA